TTATCTATTTAAGGTATGAATAGATTAGAAATAGCGAAATGATTATGCCAAATACTCTAAGATAAATTGATAGAAAAATAGAAATTGTAAAAATTGTAAAAAAATTCATAACAAAATTCTTTATTATAGGCTTTTCCACTAGATATGTCCCAATACAAGAATCTGTTCAATACTACTAGAATACCGGAGTTAGGAAAAGATAGAATCTTTTATGATCCTTCAGCCAAGCATTTGGTTGTATTGAGGAAGGATCATTTTTACGCATTCGACGTTTTGGATGCAAATGACTCCATTCGTAGTCCTAAAGAGATAGCTGCGTGCCTAAAAATCATTTTGGAAGATGATAGACCAGCAAATAAATATCCCGTAGGCGTTCTTACAACGTCAGAAAGGAATCAATGGGCACGGGCACGCTCACATTTAGTTGAAACAGGGAATCGAAAAATTCTTCAGAAAATCGATTCGGCTGTATTCGTAATGATTTTAGATGACGAAATTATTGGTACCAACTATAACAAGCTTATTAAAACATATTTACACACAGATGGTACAAACAGATGGTTTGACAAGTCGTTTTCCTTTATTGTTTCCAAGGATGGCTATAGTGGAATCAACTTTGAGCATTCATGGGGCGATGGTGTCGCGGTACTCAGATACTTCCAAGTGAGCAATATATTATTTCAGCTTCAAGCATATTAAGCATCGTTAATTTAATTACCTTAAACATTTGAGAACCAAAAATGTAAAGATCTTTATCATCTTGTAGGATGTGAAAGCCGATATATCGAAAAAACCAAGATTTCATCCTAATGAGGTAGATGATCTTTCTAAAGAAAACGTAAACGTAGAGAGACTACAATTCTCTCTAGATGCGAAAAGCAAAGGTATCATCGATCAGCAAAAAGCAGATTATCAAGCATGGGTGAATCAATTGTGCATCGATTTTATGCTTAATGAAGAGTTTGGTAAGGATCAGTATAAGAAGCTTGGAGTAAGTCCAGATGCCATGATGCAGTTGGCATTTCAATTGGCATTGTATACTCTAAAAGGCAAATCGGTACCAACTTATGAATCTTGCAGCACAGCTGCATATAAACACGGCAGAACAGAAACCATCAGACCTTGTACACTAGAGACTAAAGCGATCTGTGTCGCTATGACTCAGAAACAAATCGAGCTTTCTAAATCAGAGCTAAAAAAGATGATATTTGAATGTAATAAAACTCACAATATGCTTACGAAAGAGGCTATAATGGGTAATTAATTTGATCATTATTAACAGATTTATAAAAAGAATGTATATAGATTTAATAAAATACTTTACAGGTCAGGGATTTGATAGGCATCTATTCGCTTTGAGAAAAATTTCAGAGAAATCGGGTTCCACTAAGCCAGCTATTTTTCAAGATTCCGCTTACGATGCTTTAAATCATAATATATTGTCTACATCTACTTTATCAAGCCCAGACATAATAGTTGGTGGATTTGGACCAGTGGTATCTGACGGCTATGGAATTGGGTAAGATATTTGTGTTACGTTGCTTATTATTAACACTGAAAATGATATAATTAGTACTTTGTTGTATCTTTGGATGATTTTTTAAACAGAACTAATACGTATTTGTTTAGATATATGATCCAAGATAAACGTTTGGGTTCAACCGTGACAAGTTATGAAGGCAGTCATAACGCCAGTCATTATGTGCAAGCGCTAAAACATGCATTCAAGAGCATTCATGATGTGTTACATACATAAGACAAACATTTGGTTGTGTAGTTTGCTATATACATACATTATAGTTACATCTTTATTTGGATGTATATTCATCGAGATCATTGAGTTATTATCTAATATTGTACATTATAAGAGAATGTTTATAATTTGTTGTATCAGAGATAGGCACAAGTTATCTTTGGAATCTTAAAGAGAAAGCAATGATGATGAATATTACCTCTGATATTAGCTCGAAAACTTTTATACAATTATTAAATAAATATTTTTAATATTTTTGGAGGGATTGATGACTCATGTTAATTTTTATAATCAACTATTTTCCCACTAATTAATTAATTAGCTAACGAATACATATAATTAGAATATAGAGAATAATTATAGTACTTTGTATTACATACTTTACTTACATTGACAAGAAAATATGTACATTAACTTATGCAAAAGTGAGCGCTATAACGCACTCAAAATGTTTAACAAAATTTATGTTGCTTTCTAACATCGATAAAAATTATAGCCTATTATAACATTTTATCTTAGCCACTTTTATGTTTCAAAAGAAGTAGAATGATGCGTCCAACAATATAACAGACAATATTCACAATTATAGACATAGAAAGGATGTTAAATTATGTCACTTAGAATTATATGAATATAATTACAGACATGCAATATACCAAATTCGCATTGATATCTGGAAAATTTTTCTGATCTCACAATGATTTTATAGATATATAGTCATTTCTCTAGAATCTCTTTTACTGATGACTAAATGTGGAATGGAACATTGTGATCCTGATAATACTTATTCTTTTATAATTTATGATAGCTTATCGCCCATTTTCACTTTAGATGTCTGAAATAAAAATATGTAAATATGTGCATTGAGGCTATTTACAGTCTTGAATATTTCCAATTGTATTCGTAATATGTTCATATGAACTACATTAACTTACCATATAAATACCAACAATTAAACCAAAGAGTCCAATAGCAGAACCAAAAATCTCGACTATAAGAATTTTTACGAAAAGGGCAGAGTTAGCCGCATCGGCGAGAGCTGCACCAGAACCAACAATTCCGACCGCTATGCCGCAGAAAAGATTGACGAGGCCAACAGCTAAACCAGCACCAAACATTAAATATCCAGACAACCAGTTCTGACTTCTGATTTCTTCATTTTTGTAAGCTTCTGCGTAAGTAAATTTGTCAAGCATTCCAGATAGAACAATGGCAGTAATCAAGCCGTAGATAGCCACAGCCTCGCAGAATATCACAGAAATCAAATTCTTTGTCTTGATTCTAGGTGCTTTCACACCACCGCCGACGATAGACACTCCTGTCGTATGGATACCTCTAAAAAGACAAATAAATGACTTATGTAATACAAATTTGAGTGATTCCACTCAAAATTCTAATATTTGTCTCTATTAATATAGATTAAATTTAATCCTGGTTCAACTTATTCTTCATCTTTTTCTAGTTCTAGAATTGGAAAAAGATGAAAAATAAATTTTTTTTAAGTGAGATTAAAAGATAATCTACATTGTTAGAAACAAGTATAAATCTAACTTACAGTGCAGCACCTACTACAGACAAAGCTACTGATAGACCTATACCCAATGTGCACCACATATATGGAGAAGTATTCGTCAAAAACCTAAATGAAAATCAAACACTTTGTTTAGGATCTTTTTGCGCCAATAATTCAATAAGATGAGAAATCACTGACATAAAATAAACATGTGAACTTACCATCCAATGCTAACCTGCTCTCCTTTGCCAGTAAATACATAATACAAAACTGCAACATATATATTATATACTATATAAATACATAATACAACATATAAATATATAAACACAAAATATATTACATCAAAGAAATGTATATATATCTTTTATGCAATTCGAAGAATTTATTCAGTAAAATAAATGCATTTCACGAGATTGTTAACAATCATATTATATATAAATATTTCGGCAAAATATCGAATTCACAAGAAACTCTAACGTGTTATATTACTATAATATAAATATAAAACATACCCAAAATAAGGATCGTTGCCGAGGCGGTGATCGCGAATGTGTTACCCAGGATATACCTCATCGTTACAACAATAAGCTTTGTCGTACGAATAAAGTAATATATGTAATTCCGCGGTCTTCAAGCACAGCCGACACTCCGGGGAAAAGCCAAGATAGCCCGGTAGTCTTTTCGTTTTTTATTTAACAAATCCTAGATTCTCACATTGAAAGACTCAGGAAAAGATCACGCACACCCGTCGCTGTCATGTGACAACTGCTCGTAGTCTAGTAACCGCTAGAGATTTTTTCTGCGGCGGGAGTGAGAAACCATAGTGAAAATTCGATAATCTTGCTTCACCTATATTGCACCTTTTTGACACTCTTTGCACTCAAAACGGAAGGACATATATGTTGTCGTTGAAAAGAGAAGGAGCAAAGATATCACCTGAGTGCAGAAGGGGCAAAACAAACGAATGTAATTAATACACGTTTTAATGGAAATTTGATAAAAAACCAATTAACTTAAATCGACGATTAAGACAACTCACTTAAATTCAACAATTGCACACTTAATTGCAATATTTTCAAATGAAAATATTAATTTTTTCATTGAGAAAAAGTTAGAGACAGCTCGTATAATTAGAAATTTGGTGTAATTAGTCGGCTGAATTACTTGCCAATTAACTTTTAGGTGATACCATTTTATTGAATATGTGAATAAAATTTTTTAAAATAAAAAATAAAATTAGAGATGAATTATATATACAATTATATAGAATTATATGTATAGCTATAGAAAATATTTTGTTTTAAATATTTAAATCAGCATTTAAATTATGTACACGTATATTATGAATATCATTCATTATTCTTTATCTAATTTTTTCCACATATTAAACAACAAAAAATTCTATTTCTATTTAATATTAATAAAATTACAAGTATTACCTAAGATAAGTTTAATTACACGATCGTCTACTTTAATAATAATTGAAATAAAGCTTCCAATTTAAATTTACTTATTAATAAAAATTATATTTTGATATTGTGAAATAATTGCAAAAAAAATTGCAACCATATATATATATAATCTATATCGATTATGTTTCTATTTTTATTAAAAGTCGTTGAAATTGTTGTTATTATGATAATATACATTATAAAAATGAGAGATTAGAGACATTATTTATTATCTCTATTATTGTTCCAACAATCATCAATTTGCACGTTTTTATCGACGCGCGAAGAAGCGAGATTGATTTTATATAAATGGAATCATCGGGCGCATTTCGTAAGAGGAGACGAATACATCGCCTAATTTTAGAATCCGTCGCATTCACATTCGTTTGTGCAACGAGGAAATAGAACCCACGGATGTTTCATATTAAACACACAATCGATCAGTTTCAATAATAATTAGCGGGAATGTCTCTGACGAAACAAGGGTAAGCAGTTCTTTTCGATCCCGGGCTACCAGGATAGAGAAAATCCATCAACGTCTAAATCTGGTCTCTCGTTTGAAGCTACTTGTTATAAAACCGGGTCGGTTCTCCGTCTAATGACAAATTCTGCGAACGGAATGTTCGCTTCCGTGACCCTACAAACTCTCGTCGCTCATGCTCTATTTCTGTCTGCGATTAAATTTACAGTGTGTTAAATTTAGATAAATGATGGAAACACGTTTGTGGCTCGCGACTTGTTTGTGACAAAATTGGAATCGCCGACACACGTTCGACTGATCCGCATATTTTCAGACACGTCAACTTCATACTACTATTACATTAACTCACACAAACGCGTTCGCAATGAATGAAATTTAAAATATTTAATGTATAGAGAAACTGCAAGATCTCCTATGTTTTTAGATAACAAGTTTTTCCAATAGATAACGAGTGCACTTCATTTTATACGATGCGCATAATACATCAATTTGAATATTAAATCTCTGAGGATTATTATTTTCGTTGTATTTCATTCTCAGAATTGAACTCTAGCTTCTGCAAAGACAATTGTTTTTTCGGATCGAATGATATGGATTGTTGTCTTTTTTGTTTTCGTTTTAATATATTATCTCCACAGTGTCGATTGTTTAAAATAAATTAAGAATTACATTTATTGCATTGTAAAAAAGTCTCATTTTTAAAAATATTTTTTAAATATTTTTTAGTGGAGTATTAAAAACTATTTTGATCGTTCTGTTTTGTTTCAGAAACATTTTGCTTGACGAATTTCGTCGTGTTGTGCACGACACTGTCTCGCAAGAGGAATCACTAACGACTCAATTTGCGAGACTATCCGCGTCGAGTGATAGACAAGGAATGGTCAGGATGCTTATGGAAATGTCCTATGTGGCAAACTTGAAACCGGGCGACTCTTATGAGGGTAAGAATGACGCGCAGGCCGCGCAACTGTACGAGAAGTCGATTAGGGCAGCAATAGAGTCCAGGGATGAGCACGCAGAGATTAGAATTAATATTCTCACGCAAGCACTGTTTGCGGCCAGTGCAAACGGTAGAGTGTTTCTAGATGCGATCTGCGAGCGCGCTAGGCGCTTCTACAGTCTGCGCGTTTATGCGAGTTGTCTGCAAGACTGCGAGTGCATGCTGGCACTTCCTGCGAGTTTCTATGACGACTCTGCGGAGAATGTTAAATACTTCGTGCAGTGTAGGAAGGAATGCCTTCAATTAGAGCGAGAATGTTTCCGAAAATTGGAAGCCTTGTCCTCTAAGAAACGCGGCACCCGTAGAAGAATGTCCTCTTCCTCTTCTTCCTTCTCTTTCCATTCTTCTTCCAGCGGCACGTTGCCCACCATTGATGGCAAACCGCATAGCTGTCTCGCGAGCTGCCCGGACAGCGTTGAGTTGCAGGTCGATGAGGCCAGGGGTCGACACCTCGTGGCTACAAGAGACATCAGACCGGGAACTGTACTCATTGTCGATCGGCCGTTTTCCTTTAGCACGGACGCATCGGCTCTCGACAGGAATTGTTTGCATTGCCATGCCACACTTAAACTAGAAGACAGCGTTAGAGTCCCATGCCGCAATTGTCAAACAGTTAGTAAAGCGCATGATTTATATTCGCGCATGCTACGCGCCATGTATATAGCGCCAGATGTAATTATCCATACTTTCGCCTATTAGAATTCCATATTTATTTCTTTTTCTTTTCGTGTCTTCCTGTACGCCACAGATTTTTCGATATAAATCTTGTCTCGCGTTCTCCAGGTAGCTTTTTGCACAGAAGTGTGCCGCAAAGAATCGTGGGAGATGTATCACCAATATGAGTGTTCGGTATTTAATTACTTCTTCAAAAATTCGTTGAACAACGAACGACAACAATCGTCTTATCTCCTGTTAGCTTATCGCACAACGATTATACAAGCGCTATCATTACGGAACAGAACAGAAACGACGTGCGTTTTGAATCCTGATTTCCTACGATATCATGCTAATGGTAAAGATGATAGCAAGGAGTGCGCGGACTTGGGATCAAAAAGGATATACAGTCCTCTCGATTATCGAACGGTGTTTCAACTAGAGACTCATTGCGCTGATGTGGAACCTCACGTAAATCTTATTCGTACTGTTGAGGCGATTTTTCTTACAAAATGTTTGATCTTGGTACTGAACAAACTAGACGTCGTTTGCACAACGGAAACATTCATTGTATTAGCTGTCGCTATGTTGCACCATTTGCAGGCGATTAACTGTAATGCATATGAAATTATCGAGAATGTCCACGATGAGACAACGCACGTCTGGGAGCCCAGGAATATCGGTGCTGCGATTTATAGCACGGTCAGTCTCGTGAACCACAGCTGTTATCCCAACATAGTTCGCCATTCTTATCCGAACGGTAAGCGATCCAATCAGCGAACAAACTTACGAAGACAACAGAGAGATGAAGTCTTAATAATTCTCATTTTACAGGAATAGTCGTGGTTAGAGCTCTGCGCTTCATCGGCAAAGGATGCGAGATATTCGATTGTTATGGACCTCATTTTCTCAGCGAGAGCAAATTGAACAGACGTGATTTTTTGTGGAAGAAATATCGATTCCTATGCGGATGCGATGCCTGCAAACAGAACTGGAAATTTCCGCTACCAGAAATAATGAATTATAAGTGCGCAGCGTGTTCGGAACCGATAAATCTCTCGATAACGAATCAGCGGTGTGCCAAATGCGAGAAAATTGTTGATTTAAAGAGAATCGAGAAGCAACTTTGTAAATCGATTCAAAAGAGACTGAGTGCTATCGCGAAAATGTATCAGGGAAATTATAAAGACGCGATGCCTCTGTTATTCGAGCACGCGGACTTTGTCAACAAACACTTAACTAAACCGAACATCGAAGATATCAAAACAGAACAATGTATCGTCCAGTGTTACAATTCTCTTGGCTCTATTTCCGTCTAATATTCTCTTAGTTGGTTTATAACAATTATTTAAAGTACTGAAACAATTACTTCAACGTTTATTCTACAACTCTGTAAAAAACGCGACATAATCCATTAAGAATAGATACATCCAGTTTTTTTCTGGAAAAAATTGGAAAAAAATTGTGCAATCAGAAAAACTAGAAAATACACGAAACAATAATTTTCAATTGCGTTAACAGTCTCGTTAACAGTTTCTGAGATAATGCAAGGTTAGACTACGTAATTAAGAAGCATATAATTCTCATAAAATGCGTGATACAAAACAAATTATTCAAGAGTTAATTGATTTTCGTACGATATATATAGGTCAGCATATACATCTAACGCTGAGTAAAAGAGCGAATCTGAATTATAGTTCTTGTAGATCAAATAATAAGACGGTTGTGCATATTAAGTACGATGTTATGTTTCTTTTATGTTCATACTATAAAACTGGGTAACATAACATATTAAGACCATTGCTTTTCAATAGCGATACCTTACTTGCGTGAGAAAGACAAGAATTATATACAATGATTCATCATATACATTGGTACAGTACATCCAGTTGATTAAAACACAGAGATGCAATACCTAAATTCAACTAGAATCCGGATGTAAAGGTTTAGGCATTCAATTACCACATGTGTGTTTCTCTAATTTCACTAATGATGTGACCTGCTTGAGTCAATGCCTGTAAAATTAGAGTAATTGTTAGAGATCAATTATTATAAAGAAATGTATTTAACTTTTTATGTCAAATAAAAATACCTTAAGCATGTCTGCTGTTTCTTTACGTCTAACAGCAATGTGTTCACTTTCAATCAACAAGGCCTCAGCCTGATCTGATTTGTACAAATGTGTGACAAGTTCACTTTGTAAATTATCTTTCACATAGTTGACTAGGAAATGCATAACAGCCTTTGGTACACTATCTTGAATAGACTTTCGTACAATATAAAAGTATGATCTTATGAGTCTTTCTACAAACAAAAAAAAATTAAAATTAAAGTTAATATAAACTCTGTTAATATAAAGTCTGTTTACAATTGCGTAAGCGTAAGTGGTTGTCAAAAATTCATCAATCACAGCTGAACACGAGAAGAATATTCGATTGTGTTTGGACAATTCTTACAATTACAATCACTTAGAACTATATTTATGCAAGTGTGGAATAAACGTAATGATATCCAATATGACATATTTCTTTACCGATAATATCACAATCTCGTTGCTCACGATCACTAAGTTTTCGGGATGTCTGTATTGGTACTGCAGGGAGTAGATTTACTGGCTTCTGTTGCGGGGATGCTTTCTGTAGTTCGATCACTGGATTCATGCTCGGATTTGGGGAGTTACTGTTTTCACGCATCCTGATCGGAGAACCATCCGCAGAACTCGTTGACTCCGTTCTTCCCTGAAGTAGTAAGTTACTTAGCAGCCAGTGATTTTGCTGTCCTTGCTGTTCCTTAGTCTGATCAGAAACAGAGTTCATCTCATCTTGATTATTGACTGATTTTACAATCTGTTACAAATATATTTTACTATTAATAGCAAACACAGCGTAAAAAAGTTGAAATGGATAAAATAATGAATAAATTGACGAACATATAAATGTTGCTAATCACATTTAAATTTTATCTTTGAAACACAGTAACTTTCTCAATAAGTTATGCACAAAAGAAATTAGTAATAAATTTCAATAAGAACGTTAAATAGAGATTATTTACCGTATCATTGGTGATTATAGTACTAGATGCTGAAGTTAATCGTTTATTGTGCTTCAGGTGATCTACATCAGCATCCTTCAATAAAGATGACACAAATGCTGCATCTTTATGAAAGTCGGGATGTTTAGTATTAATGTACGCTAATTCTATGGCAACCAAGTTCTCTACCTTTTTTAAAAAAATTAAATCATTGTATGATTATAAGGAACGAATTATGAATATATAAAGAGAATGGATATTTTAGTTTACCATTGAATTGGTAGGCGGGAGCCGTCTACGTAGCAATTGTGTAACAACATCGACGATACGCTCATGCAATTTAGAGAAACGCAGCATTTCCTGCTGCACCTCAGTGCCACAATGCTGTATTATACTTTGCATTTCTTCGTGTACAAGTTCTACGCATCGTAACGAAGGATCCTCCAATTTTCGTATTTGCCGTTTAACTAGAAGTTCAAAGGAGACTTCTGGCACAAAGAGAGCTGGTCTCGGACCAGTTGCGTTGCGAATAGCAGTCAATATGTCGACTTTACTGAGGTCTGCCAGTGGATTAATCGAATCAAGCGTTTTACCAAACGTCTCGTGAAATATATAGCAAATGCGAGCACCGCCGCACAGTTCAGTGGTTTCTATGTTCCTCGCAGTTCCCTCTATCGTAGCGCAATAGCTGTTTGCAAATTTCGTGATGATCTGTAGCAGGGTTTGGCTTTTGTCTTCGACATCTCCGCCATAAGAATTAAGTAGAGTTTGATATTGTGCTACCATTGTGTTCACTCTGTTCTGTTTTAAAAAAACACAAGTTCTACCAAATTATGCTTATTTTAGTAGATTCTAGCTACATCTCTCTCGTAATTCAATTCTAGTATTAATATTATTACCTTCAACTCTGGTAAACAATCCCTAATATGTTGCATAAGCAAACGATTAAGAGTTTTTGCTAAGTATGGAGTGCCATTTCTGTTAGCCAATGTTGGATATTTACGTTGCAAGAATGTGGCTTCATCCTTCAACGCTTCCTGAATGCTTTTGTTGTTCATTATGTCTTGTTGAGAACGATTAACTACACCTATAATACCCAGTTTAACTGGGATAACCCTACCACATAGAATATCTATGGCATCAGTCCCTTAAAAAAAAAAGATGTATTTAATAATTGTTATTATAATCAATCCTGTGCTTTTTGATAAATTTGAAGAGAGAATGTAAAGACATCAAGAAGGATGAAAAAGTAAATTTACCAGCATCCATGAGATCTAATTTTGTAACAACTGCCAGCGTTCGTCTGCCATCTGGATCAACATCTTTGCTGAGCTTCAAACTCTCACTTGTAGCCATGTCAGTATTGGCAGTGACAACTGCTAAAATTATAGAGTTAGGACTGCATATATACTTTAATACAAGCTCACGTATCTGAGACTCGATGTCCTCTGGCTGATCGCCTACTGGCACTTTTGTGATACCAGGTAGGTCTATAAGTGTCAGATTAACGACAAAAGTTGAGTATATTTTAAGATTAATTGGTTCTGGACAAATCCCTTTGTTTGCTCCAGCCATTCTGTCAGTTTCTGCTTCAATCTCTGCACGAATATCGTCGAAATCTTTGTAGATCTTGTTCTTTGTATGCAGAAACATTCCCCATTCTTCCAAGTCCAGAGTGCCATTTTCTGCGCTTCGGTGTTCTCGATCATCTTTGGGTGTATATACAAGTTGTAATATTAATGGACGTCGTGTGACAATACCAGTCCCTCGTGGTAGAAAAGAACGGCCCACCAAGCTTTCTATTA